GACAACGCATCGGCAGAAGCCGGACCTCTCCCGTACTGCTCCGTCAACGTGCCCATGGACGAAGAAAATCCTCGCGACAGTAACAACGCCGAAGTCTTCTACCACTTCGCCGACACCGGTTACGTAACACCTGCAACCGTCAACACAAATGAAGCAGAAAGGATAGGACCGAATTTCATCCCTGATCCAGAAGCGGGAGACGAAGCAGCTTATCCCGAGGATCCAGAACTCCCTCGATACTCACAGACTGGGCTGCAAATCCTCGGCCTCGTCACCGCAGTCCACGGGAACACACGCAGCTCACTTCCTCAGGAGCCTGCAACGGTTCAGCAGGCTCTGGGGGGGGAACACAGGGAGAAATGGCGTGAAGCCATGGATAGAGAACTGAAGGCATTAGAGGAACGCAACACTTGGAAGGTTGTTCCCGTAAGCGTGGCACGGAACAAAACCATCCTTACCGGGAAATGGGTCTTCCGCATCAAGACGAAAGCAGACGGCACGATCGAAAAATTCAAAGCACGCTGGGTCGTACGTGGATTCGACCAAGAGCAAGGACGAGACTTCACCGAGACCTTTGCTCCAGTCAGCCGCCACACGTCACTCCGAATTCTCCTCGCCATTGCCGCCATGAAGAAGAAGAAGTTACGGCAGATCGACGTAGCGAATGCCTTCCTCTACGCACCTGTGGATGCAGAAATCTACGTCGAGCTCCCGCACGGTTCCCACGGCGAACCCAACCGAATCTGTCAACTACTTAAGTCGCTCTACGGGATCAAGCAAGCACCGCGACTGTGGCAGCAGTACCTACACGCCCGTCTCATCCGCATCGGCTTTAGTCAACTACCTCACGATCAAGGCATGTACCGCCTCACTAAGGGAAGCGACTACGTTCTCCTGATCGTCTACGTGGACGATCTCCTCTACATTGGGTCGACCGACGGCATCGCCACGTGGTTCGAAGGAGAGCTCCAGAAAGATCTCACGCTCACGGTCTCCTCCACCGTTACACAGTACCTCGGGCTCAACATCCGCGAAGAAGAAAACGCCATCTATCTAAGCGCCGAGAAATACGCCGACACCATCGCGAAACGCTTCAGCCTCACACCAAGCGCCATCTCCACGCCTTACCGCTATACATCAGGAACCGAGAAGGAACGAACTACTCTACTCAAGCCCGCCGGCATACGCGACTATCAGAAGAAGCTCGGATGCCTGCTATTCGCCGCCGTCACCTGCCGCCCTGACTTATCCTACTCCGCAAGTCAGCTGGCCACCTATCTCAAGAAGCCTGAAGCTGAACACCTGGCGGAACTTGATCGCGCTCTCCACTACTTCGTCAGCACCGCGACGATCGGGCTAACCTACCACAAGAGCGCAGCTACACCAACTAAGCTAATCGGCTACGTCGACGCCGATCACGCCGGCGACACCGACAACAGGCGCTCACGCACCGGCTATGTCTACCGCCTTGAGCCTATCGGTCCTATCTCCTGGCAGTCGAGCAAGCAGGAGTTAATCGCACTATCTTCAGCAGAAGCAGAATATATTGCACTCTGCTCAGCCACCAAGGAGGGACTTTACCTTCGCGAACTACTGGAAGAAGCGAAGCTAGCCGAGTTACCCAGCTTCACCGTGTTCTGCGACAACCAGTCAGCAATTCGCATCGCCAACAAAAACGGCTTCGCAAACAGGACGAAACACATCGCCCTGCGCTATTTCTTCGTGAAGGACGAGATAGAAAAGGGGAAACTCGATCTGTCATACTGCCCAACATCCGAGATGGCAGCCGATTACTTGACCAAGAAACTCGGAAAGCAGAAGTTCGAATACTGCATGATGCTGACTGGACAAGGCCACGTCACCAGCAGCGACACTCCAGAAGCGAAGGGGAGTGTTGGAAACAATAAGTCCTAAGTGCGCTTCTGTCGTATCAAAACCCAAGGCACCAAGCGAAGCAGTCCCAATCGGAGCATCGAGTCAACCTCGGAGGTTAGGGTAACCGCCTGGAGGTTACGAGAAAGTCAAAGGTCGCTGACCTTTGACTCGACAATTACAGCGCGACAGTTAAGGACACACAACTGACTCGCTACAGAGCAGTTGCCCGAGTCGCACTGTATCGAACCGCAACAGCAATACAGTTATCTACATATCTATTCGTATTCCCTGTACTCTTATATAAATCCTTGTATTTGCTTGTTTAATTCAATCAACTTTGCTCTCACACACCAGTGCAAGGTCGGTTCAAATTCTTCACTAAACGCTTCCGCTATTACAACTACTTCACCTAGAGTTATCCCTTGCAAAGATCCTAAGGGGGCTATCTCAGCCCAACAGTATTTACACCACTGATTGAATAGAAAATATCCTTTGACCGCCTGCGGCCATAATAAAACCTTAACTGTCCCTACATTAACGCCTAACCCTGAGCTACCTACTCCCCAAGGAATCACAGTTTATATCCTTTCCCTAAAACCACCACACCATATTCTCAGTTGCTACGTTCCAACACATTCACTCACATTCGGCAGAGCACAAATAACAGCAGCACCATCCTTGACATTTGGGCACCCAGAGATGAAAAGTGTTTTGAGCTTGGACAGCTTGGTGATGGAAGCATGCAAGCGTTCTAGGTTGGGCCAGGAGTGCAGCTCCAACCGCTCTAGCTGTGAAAGATTCTTGAGCTGCTGGGGAATTGTGCTGAGGGTGGGAAACAGTGCCCTAGATATCAGACTTTTTACGCTGATTCAGCGTCCATTCAGACTTTTTTTTGGTACCTGGTCTGAACTGTAACTTTTTTTTTTGGGTTGCGTAGCAACCTTATACATTCGTTTTCACTTTTTGGTTGACTGACGTGAACAGTGATTTTCCCCCATCAATTTTGAAGGAATCACTGTTCACGTAAGTCCCACAAAATGTGAAACCAAATGTACCCAATCATTCCATAGTCGTCGATAAATACGGCGAATGGAGTAATTGGTTCCGTAGGACAAAAACCCGAGGGGAAATTACCACGCGCACAAGAGAACGTGTACAAAAACAGCATTTCGAAATCGTGCATGTTTTGAGGCGAACACTAAATGCATCAATGCTGCAACTGAGGTTGATATGGTTGGAAGAGGTGAGCAAAGCTGCCCCACCGACGATGACAACCCCAATTGCATACACGAAGCACTTAGCACCACACCACAAAACAGACAACACGTTACACAAACGAGAGCACACAAACACGTGCATAAACGAGGGACAATAGTTGTGAATGCTTCGAAGCTAGTGCTAGAATGCATCGATTATGCAAATGAGATTGATCTGGTATGGAAGAGGCGAGCAAAGCTGCCCCACCAACGATCACAACCCCAGTTGCATATACGAGGCACTTAGCACCACACCCCAAAACAGACACAAACAACACCAACATGCGTTTACACATGTGTGCACAGCACAGACAAATACAGGCTCACTCACGCACATACATACACGCGCAAACAAACACAAAAGCATACTACCGCTATTGAACATGCAATGCAAGCGTAAAGAATGGAGTTCAGACATGTATAAATCATTGTTAGCCTGTCCCACATTCCCCTCCTTCCCTCCCTCATCTCCCATCCCCCCCTCCCTTCCAATATCCCCTTTTCTTTCGACCCTCCCATAGTGCATCACTCCCTGCACAAGAAAGCACAAACAGCGCATGCAGCTCACCACACTCCCTGGACAAGAGAGAAAAACAGATAATGCAGCTGACACTCCCTGCACAAACAAAAAGAAAAGCAGAGAATACAAGTTGCATGAGCTAGAACAACACAGGAAAACAAATAACAGGAATGCAGCCCACCCGATGCACAAGAAACGAGGTAGGCATTATAGAAATATGATGATGAAGAATGAAGTGCTGAAAAGAAAGATGAGGGTCGAAAACAATCAAATTTGATATCTCGTGAAGGTGATTCGGTATAAGACCTCGTGTCTTCACACGTACCATGCCAGCACGCACGCAATACATCGCAGCCACCCTCGCCTTCAACCTGACACTCATCCTCGCACCTCAGTCTCGCACTTCCTCTCGCATTCACCCTCGTACACACACTCACATGCACCCTCAAGTGCATGCGTTCACTCACTCTCGCACTCCCGCACTCATTCCCTCACACTCTTTCGCACTCACGCTCGCAACCATCCATGGACACACAAGTAACTTTCAACCGTTCTTAGAGACACTCACAGAAACACACACATAAACCCTCACTCACCTTCGGACTCGTGCTCGGCTCACCCTCGCACTCACTCGAACACGCACACGCACACACGGCGCACACACACTCGAACTCAACTCGCACTCACATCCACACTCGCACCTACAGTCACACCCACACTGACGCTCGCACTCCTTCTCGCACTCGTACTCGCCCTCACTCTCCCACTTGCTCTTGCACATACTCGTGCTCACCCTCGCACTCACTCTTACACTCACACCGCGATCACCCTTGCACTCAACATTGCAGCCACCAACTCACTCACTCAGCCTCACACTCTCGCACTCACTCTTCACTCACACAAATATACTCTCAACACTTCTTTGACACTCACAAAAACACACACACCCTTGCACACATCCTCGCACTCACCCTCACACACACTCGAACGCACTTGCACTCAACCTTGCACGCACACACACACTCATGCTCGCACTCACCCTCAAACTCGCCCTCGCACTTACACTCGCACTCACTCTCACACTTGCTTTCCCACTCACCTTCTCACTACTGACGCACTCACTCATGCACTTGCTCTCTAATTCAACCTCGCACTCGCCCTTCCGCTCACAACCGCACTCAACCTCGAGTGCATGCGCGCATCTCACTCTCGCACTCACACCCACACAAGCACTCACCCTCTCGCACACTCTCGACTCACTCTTGCAACCACTCACATACACCACACGCCCTAAGCGCAAGCGCCCACAGTGCAGAGCCCTAATCGCAAGCGACATAAGCGCAAGTGGATTAGGCGCAAGCGCCCAAGGCACCCACGCAAACGGCGCAAGCGCGCACACACTCTCTCTCCCGCCTCTCTCTCCCACACGCGCTTCGTGCTCCCTCCAGATCTTCCTTCGCTCTCACATACGCTCTCTCACGCGCACTCTCTTGCGTGCTCGCTTCCCCTCGTGCTCCCTCTCTCCCCTTCTTCAATCGGTAGTGCAACGCAAGACGAGGCAAGTCTACACACAGAAAGGACAAATAAGGTAGGAGAACAATGGAATTTCATAGGGGTGGGAGGAATAAACGCACCTGCAAATGACGGTGCCTCGAAGACCATCCCGCACTCGCGCACCAGCTCTCGTTCGCGCACCATCCTTATCCATGCTCACAAACCTCCCCACGGCGGGACGGGAGGGAGTGGCGCGGCGGGGATGAGGGAGATGCAGCGACAGAATGGAAGGGAGATGCGGCGGCGGAATGGAAGGGAGAGGCGGCGGCGGAATGGAAGGGAGAGGCGGCGGCGGAATGGAAGGGAGAGGCGGCGGCGGAATGGGACAGAGTGGCGACAGCGGGATGAGAGAGAGTGGCGAAACGGGACGGGAGGGGGAGAAGTCGGCGGGATAAGAGGGAGAAGCGGTGGCGGGATGGGAGGGGAGTGGCGGTGGCGGGATGGGAGGGGAGTGGCGGCGGCGGGATAGGAGGGAGAGCCGGCGGCGGGATGGTAGGGAGAGGCGGCGGCGGCGGCGTGGGAGGGAGTGGCGACGGCGGCGTGGGAGGGCAAGGCGACAGGGGGGTGGGAGTGAGAGGCAACGGCGGGGTAGGTGAGAGAGGCAACGGCGGGGTGGGAGAGGACGAGGGCGGGATGGGAGGGAGCGGTGGCGACGGGATGGGAGGGAAAGGTGGCGGCGAGATGGGAATGAGAGGTGGCGACGGGATGGGAGGGAGAGGTGGAGGTGGGATGGGTGTCAAACATTCGATATGTTCTGCTTGTGTAGGCTACAGTGGGTTAGCCTATAGGGGGTACACAATTCTAAGGTTTCCTACTTGTACTCATTTCACTGCTAGTTCATTCATTTCCTGTTCGCTTATTCTCACATGGTATAGAGCGGGTCCTTCTACGGACCGTTTTTTCTTGGGCCCACCGAAGCGCCCCCCGAGGCGCGATCTTTTTTTTAGCGACCCCTCGGGTCGCCATTTCCCCTGCGGCCCCGCCGCCTTCACTGACGCGGCCCCGCCGCCCTCTCTGTCGCGGCCCCGCCGCCTGCTCTCACGCGGCCCCGCCCCGGCTCCTTCGCGGCCCCGCCGCCTGCTCTCGCGCGGCCCCGCCCCGGCTTCTACGCGGCCCCGCCCCGGCTTTCACGCGGCCCCGCCGACGGCTTTGTCGCGGCCCCGCCCAGGCCCTTACGCGGCTCCGCCGCCTGCTCTCACGCGGCCCCGCCCCGGCTCCTTCGCGGCCCCGCCGCCTGCTCTCGCGCGGCCCCGCCCCGGCTTCTACGCGGCCCCGCCCCGGCTTTCACGCGGCCCCGCCGACGGCTTTGTCGCGGCCCCGCCCAGGCCCTTACGCGGCTCCGCCGCCTGCTCTCACGCGGCCCCGCCCCGGCTCCTTCGCGGCCCCGCCGCCTGCTCTCGCGCGGCCCCGCCCCGGCTTCTACGCGGCCCCGCCCCGGCTTTCACGCGGCCCCGTCGACGGCTCTGTCGCGGCCCCGCCCAGGCCCTTACGCGGCCCCGCCGCCTGCCCCCGTCGCGGCCCGGTCACCTCCTGACGGCCCCGCCGTCCCTTCGTGACGGCCCCGCCGTCCCCTCCTGACGGCTCCTGCCGTCCCCTTCTACCGGCCCCGCAACTGCACCTGCTGGCCCCGCCGCTGCACCTACCGGCCCCCCCCACCACCCACCCCCCCCCATTTTCCCGTCGCCTGTCGAGGCGACCTGAGGGGGCCGCAAGCGGCCCCCTCAGGTCGCCTCGACAGGCGACGGGAGAGGCCAGCAGAGGGGTGGCAGGTGTGTGGCCTCCCCTGCTTCTCCTCCTCCTTCATCTCCCACTGCAGCAGCCGAGCCGCTCACCTGCAGCAGCCGAGCCGCCCCACCGCCGAGCCGCCCTGCACCCGAGCCGCCCAGCAGCCGAGCCACCCTGCCGCCGAGCCGCCGGGTCGCTGAGCTGCTGAGCTGCAGTTACTCCTACTTCCACTCCTGCTGCTTCTACTCGTGGTGGCGGCCAGATGCAGCTCCCGCGACCCTCTCGCGTGTCTCTCACGCCTCGCCAGCTTCGTGAGTGGTACGCTCAGAGTGGAGGGTCTCTCAGTGCTGTTCGCTGCTCTTACGTGATTCGCACTGGTACTCGGACTGGTCAGCCTTGTGGGACACGTAGTCATACACCGTCCAGCTGCTTCGCCCGTCTGAGCGACGCCTGGCGTACCGTGTTTGGCGACGAGGCTGAGCTTCCCGACTGGGTGGAGTTGCTTAGGCAGAGGGTAGATATATATGCTCTTGACTATGATGCTATTCTCACTGCCATGTATGCATTGCCTACTAGTGCTGACCGTGCCGGTCACCTGTGCGTCCCGCCTAACCCAGGTATAGGACCTGCTGCTCTAGCTACTGGTGAGGCTGCTGCTCTGGGTGCTAGTGAGTCTCCTGCTCCACGTACAGGTGCGGCTGCTGCTCTAGGTGCTAGTGAGTCTGCTTCCTCAGGTGCGGGTGAGGCTGCGCTCTCAGGTACCGCGTTGGCTTCGGCCTCCCTCACCTTTACACTTGACTCTGGGGCTTCTCGCTCCTTCTTTCGGGACCGCACCACACTCACGCCGCTTGGTCGGCCGGTTGCTGTCTCCCTGGCTGACCCCTCTGGGGGTCCTGTCCTTGCTCACTTCTCCACTGTCCTCCCGTGTCCGGCTGCCCCCTCGGGCACCCTCTCTGGCCTGTACCTCCCCTCGTTCTCGACGAACTTGGTGAGTGGTGCAGACCTACAGGATGCCGGGGTTCACCAGTTCACTCCTGCGAGTCAGCGGGTGACCCACTGCACGGACGCACGCACAGGCCGGCACCTGGACACGTTCTCGCGTCGGCCGGGGTCGAGCCTCTACACCCTGACCACTGAGTCTCCTCCTGTCCCCGCGTCCGGTCAGGTAGCAGCGTCGGGTCAGGTGTTTGCTGCTGCGTCCAGGTCTGGTCCTGAGTCTGCCCCCTGTTCGTGTCGCCTCCTGTCTCACGAGACTCTTCTGTGGCACCACCGTCTAGGCCACCCCTCCTTGCCCCGTCTTCGGGGCATGGCTTCCCGTGTCCTTGTCTCTGGTCTTCCCCAGTCTCTCCCTCCCCTTCCTTCGGGACCAGGACCTTCCTGTGTCCCCTGTGTCGAGGGGCGCCTCAGGGCTGCTCCTCACTCCTCCCAGTTTCCCCCGACAGAGGCTCCTCTGCAGACGCTTCACATGGACGTGTGGGGCCCGGCCCCCGTCCGTGGGCAGGGTCACGAGCGCTACTTCCTGTTGGTGGTTGACGACTACTCGCGTTACACCTCAGTCTTCCCCTTGCGCAGCAAGGGTGCTGTCACTGAGGTGCTGATCGACTGGATCCGCGAGGCTCGTCTCCAGCTCAGGAGGAGCTTCGGCTCGGACTTTCCTGTTCTGCGTCTGCACTCTGACCGAGGTGGGGAGTTCTCCTCTCGCCTTCTGCGAGACTACTGTCGTGCACAGGGGATCCGCCAGACCTTTACGCTTCCGGACTCTCCACAGCAAAATGGGATTGCTGAGCGCCGCATTGGCATGGTCATGGATGTCGCTCGTACGTCCATGATGCATGCGGCTGCCCCCCATTTTCTGTGGCCGTTTGCGGTTCGGTACGCGGCGCATCAGCTCAACCTTCACCCCAGGGTCTCTCGGCCCGCGATGTCCCCAGTGTTACTGTGGACGGGGAAGGTTGGCGATGCGTCTGCGTTCCGTGTCTGGGGATCTCGGGCGTTTGTCCGCGACTTGTCTGCGGACAAGCTGTCCCCCCGTGCTGCTCCCTGTGTCTTCCTTGGCTTCCCCCCTGACGCTCCAGGGTGGCAGTTCTACCACCCCTCCTCTCGTCGTGTTCTGTCCTCCCAGGACGTCACGTTCGACGAGTCAGTCCCCTTCTACCGCCTCTTCCCCTACCGTACTCCTTCCCTTCCCCCCCCACCGGACTTCCTGGTACCAGTTCCCCCCCCGGTAGACCCCCTCCCCCCTCAGGTTCCTGCCCCTTCAGGTGTGTCCCAGGTAGACACGGTCGAGCCAGTCGAGGTTGCTGCTGAGTCTGGTCCTGCTGTGGGTGCTGAGCCTGGGGGTGCTGCTGCTGGGGGTGCTGAGCCTGGGGGTGCTGAGCCTGGGGGTGCGAGGCCGGGGGGTGCTGAGTCTGGGGGTGCTGAGCCGGGGGGTGCTGAGCCGGAGGGTGCTACGTCAGGAGCTGCTGAGCCTGGGGGTGCTGGGCCTGGAGGTGCAGAGCCTGCGCCTGCTGGACCTGGGGGCTCTCCGGTTCTTCCGTCTCGGCGGGAGCCGCTCTCTCCACAGGAGCTGCGCGAGTGGTTTGCTCGCCGCTGGAGGCGTGCTGCTGGAGCTGGAGCTTCTTCGCCTGCTGAGGGTGCTGCCGGTCCCGGAGCTGCTGGGCCTGCGGGTCCTACTGGAGCTGGAGCTACTGAGTCTGGGGGTGCTGAGTCTGGAGCTGCTGAGCCTGGAGGTGCTGAGTCTGGAGCGGCTGTGCCTGGGGGTGCTGAGTCTGGAGCTGCTGAGCCTGGGGTTTCTCCTGCTGCTGCGTCTCGCCGGGAGCCCCTCTCTCCCCAGGAGCTGCGTGAGTGGTTTGCTCGCCGCTGGAGGAGTGCTGCTGGAGCTGGAGCTTCGTCGACCGTCGAGGGTGCTGGTGCTGCCGGTCCCGGAGCTGCTGGGCCTACGGGTCCTACTGGAGCTGGAGCTGCTGAGGGTGTTGGTGCTGAGACTACTGCTGTCTGTCCTGGCGGTGGTTCTGCTGCTGGTGCTGCTGGAGGTCCTGCCGCTGGAGGTGTTGGTGGCGCTCGTGCTGTCGCTGAGGGTGCTGGTGCTGTCCCTGCTGAGTCTGGAGCTGCCACGCGGCCTCGGCCGTACTTCGTTCCGCTCCTACAGCAGGTTCTTGGTCTTTCTCCTTCGGTAGAGTGTCCACAGCCTGTCCAGTCGCAGTCACTGTTGGAGCCTTCCTCTCCTCTGCCTGCTCCCTCTCCTTACTCTGGTCCTACTGGAGGTCTTGCTGAGCGTCGTGAGCCTGCGTCTCGTCCCGCGTCGCCTGTTCGTGCTACTCGCGCTAGTGGTCGCGGTTCGCGTCAGCGTCCTCCTCCTGTCCCTGGCACGCACCGGATGTCTCTGCGTCCGTCCACTGCTCCTCTGCGTGCCCCTTTGCCTTCTCCTCCTGAGTCCTCTCTTCCTGCGCTTGCCGACCCTGAGTCGGACTCTCTTCGCGCTGCCAGTCCTACTGTCACGCGTCTGCTTGCTACTGTCGTCACTGACCCCTCTTTTGAGTCCACTGCTGCGTCTGCTCTAGTCGCTGAGCTCGTTGACTTTGCTGCTCGCTGTCGTCTCGACTACGCTGCTGGTCTTGTTGCTGAGTCTGCGTCTGTCTGTCCTCCGTCCGTCGGGGGTGAGTGTGCTCTTGGCACGGACGTCCTAGAGGACAGACAGGAGGAGTTACTGTGTCTAGCGGCTGCTTCACCTCATCTCGCGTCTGTACTGCTTGCCCCTGAGGGAGACCCGGATGCACTAGACATCCCGACTCCGCGTTCTTACGCGGAGGCCGTAGAGGGTCCCTACTCCTCTCAGTGGCAGGCAGCTATGGATGCAGAGATGGCTTCCTGGAAGTCCACAGGCACCTACGTTGACGCAGTTCCCCCTCCTGGGGCGAACATCGTCAGTGGCATGTGGATCTTCCGGGTGAAGCGGCCGCCGGGCTCTCCACCTGTCTTCAAGGCGCGGTACGTTGCTCGTGGCTTCAGTCAGCGGCAGG